ACTGAGTTGATACACACAGTCCTCAATAAGTGTTCAAGCTGACTTTTGTTTTGATGAGTTTGTGGACATGTGTTGTTTCTATAATCTCAAAATACCCTCCTTGGTCAGATTCAACTTCACAGCTTACAAATTGTAGATGACAGCATGATGTAGATTGTGATACATACATACAAAATTCTTCACATGTTTCCAAAATTAAATGCTAAATTTCTACCTTTTCAAAACCTTGTTGCAGCAGAAATGCCATTAACACACAATGCACCCATACCCTACTCACATCTTTGCACAAGGAACTATCTATCCGCCTCATGCTTTTATTCACTTCAAAAGGACAATTTTATCACTCAAAGCTAGAGCTTTCTTCAATCTGCCATGGCTTATTCTTCTCCAAAAAATCAACAAAAGCACATCAATGTGGCCACCAGGTTTCTATCAATGTATTTATACAAAAATCTTAACTTGTTTTTATCAAACATTGATGTACTCAATCAGAATCATGTTTCAGGCCCTAGGGTGTATATATACAAATGAATTTGCTTTCTCTTAAGGCATGTCACTCCTTAATATTAAATAATTAAAATTTGCAATGCTCTCATTTTCTGAATTTAAATTCAAGTTCATTTAGACGGTTTGATTCATTCCAGAAACTGGTCATATAGAATCTAGTAACTTCAAAAAGACCATCATCAAAATGAAATTCTTCTTCAATTTACAACAGCTTATGATTCTCCAAATTAGCAGAGTCTCATCAATTCAAACAACAAACCAAGTAAATTATCAAGAGGAAACCATACACAAGAACAACATAATCTTATCATCTGATTGGCAAGAAAATGAGATAAATATGTATCTATCAAAGCCCTTATTTTCCAAGGATTCAGGAATTAATCAACAGGGAACACAAAACTGGAATAATCCAACAAATCTCAACTCTGAGTACAATATCTCTTTTATCAGAGGGGATACACCTACTGGGGACCCTCCTAACAATAAAAAAATTAGCCCTACCAGATACCTGACTTCTAGCAGTGGGCCCAATACTATTTAAAACTCTGGTAAGGGCAAAATTTCTGACTGCCTCTCCATCTACAATGGTTTATCTATCCATGAGGCTAGTTCCATCCCTATTTCTGGTAGAGGCCATGTCTCTGAGGAAGGTCTTACTTCAACCGGAGGATATATAACTACTAAAAAACTTGCTTCTGAGGACAAGCCTACTCCTGATGTTGGCCCAAATCCTAAAATCATCACAATCTCCAGCAAACACACCCCCTCTGACTGTGTATTCACAGCCAATGGGAACCCTATTCTTGATGGTAGTGAAGAGGAAATCATTTCAAATAAACTCAAAAAAAGTCTTCCTTGCAAGCGCAGAAACCTTAATGTGATCTTGAGAAATGAGGGAAATCAATATTCATTGCCAAACAGGTCAAAAGTTGCCAAAATTATCCAAGGGAGCTCAGCTACAGATGCCAAATCTATAAAATCAAAAGAATCTTGTTTCACTCATGATGGCTTAAAAAGGAAATGTAACAAAGTGAAATATAAAAATGTTGGAGAGATGGGTCAAGATAGGAATTCACTTTATGAAGAGGAAGAGTCTAGAAATTCAGGAACCAGTGTGGAAAATATTTTTGACAGTGATAGTGTCAGAAAACTCACTGAAAATACTGATATGGATCATAAAATAATGCTACATTCCCATCACTCCACTCATCTTCCCAACTTGAGAACTGAAAGCAAACTAACAAAACAGCAAAAAGAACAGCTTCGCCGACATCGTATGAGAGTTATTGGAAACAAAATGTTGATTTTATCAGATAAAATGATAGAATTTGAGACATACCCTGTTTTCTCAGAGGAAATCAAAAAGATGGAAGATGAAATGAATGAATGGGAAAAATCAGTTATTGCACCAAGATCAAAGGCCACTGTTGCACGCATCACCAATTATTTCAAAAATGTCACCAAAATTTCAACTTTCCTCATCATAAACCTTGCAACATTACTCCAAGGGCGACCAATTTGTGAAGTGATTAACAGAGAATGCGTGGAGGAAGTTTTGAATTTTATGAAAGACTTTTGGTTGTGTAGGAAGAAAAAAGATGCATTTCCAATGAGAAATTATAAAAATATATCCAGGATAACACATCATTTGGATCCAAGAGATACATCCAGTCATAGAAAATACCACAATGGGGCCTATCTTTGGTATCTTACTTCTGAAGAAATTGCCCAATATTACATGGAATACAAAACTGATATCTTCAACTCTAAGGTTCCTTTAAGCGGTCTGCATGGTCAAAATATATTAAGTGAAGCAATGAATCAAATCATAGCTTATGCAGACAAAGAATCTGAAGAGAATTTTTGAAAGAAAATCACACCAAGTGGAACAAATCGCGTTCAAAGAAAGAAATTGATTTTTTTTTTCATGAAAAAAACTCAGCCTGTTTTTGTTTATTTTGGTGGTTCAGTTACTTACCACTTTGATCTTGAATATGAATTTCAGAAATTCAATAAATATTTCCATTCACACTGACTTGATATAGCAAGGTCCCCATCAAAGCAACAGAAGCATGCATTTTATTTCCAAGAAGGAATTATTAGGAATAATCTAGAAGAATATTCATTTTGGATCAACACCTCAGTTGAAATTTTGGATCATTTGTTTGATTTTTTTCCTTCAAAACTTAATTTTCACAGAGTAAAATACTAACAATTTTCACAATTTTAATCAATATTTCATCAAGAGTTGATTTTTATCTATTTTGAATATTCTTTAGGATCTTGTTTGATTAATTCCCAACACTCAGAGCTCCAAATCTCATTCTTGGGAGACTTCTACTGGACCCATCCAGGATGTCCATAGCCGGTTGTGCAAACCCAAAGTTAGATCCTAGAAATTTTGGGAGTTGCTCCCCCCAAACTGGATGGAGTTTTGGGTGTCAGACTCCCAGCTTGGTTTTGAGTTTATTATTATTATTTTTTGGTGGGGGAGTGGAAGGGGAAGTTGGCCATGTCTGAGCAAACATAATCATCCTGGCCATGGAGTCTGTACATTCTCAAGACCAAAAGAGATTCCCCTGGGCCATACAGACTCCATGGCTGATAGGAATTGGCCATGGAGACTCCACAGACTCCATGACCAAGAGGAATCTGTCTTGGTCCTGAGCTCTTCAAAGTCTCCATTACCAAGAGAGATTACCCCTGTCAATGCTAACTTTCCTAAGTCCCTCTTTATTCAGAGGGGGGACACCGTCCCGCAGGGACCCTCTGAAGGAGGGAGTCACCCTCCTTGCCCATGAGGATTAGGAAAAAGTGGCTTTTTTTTGCAAACTCACTACAAGGCCGCTCTGCCCGCTCACTCGCACGTCAACCCACAAGCGGCGTGCCAAAATGATCCTGGAGAATCACACAGTGGCCTCCATGATGGAGGGAGGCCACTAGCTGTTTGGGCAGCAGGGCTTTTGTTAATGGCATCAGGAACCTGGGTTTTCAGGCTCATTCTGTATGACCCTCCACATCTTTGGAACAATGGGAGGTGCATAAAATACAGTCGCCATATCAGTTGATTATGCCATAAGAACACTTGTGTATCTGTTGTTACAGTGCCCCTGCATAGAAGATTGTGGACAGCCTGGTGAACGCATAACACATAATCTGGATGGGTTGGTTCTCACCTGGCCGCTTGGAAGCTCAACCTTCAGGGATGAAGGGGAGTTGATGAGACGGATGGATGTGCATTGGCGAGGCCATCACAAAAATCAAAAGAAGCGCAAAAAACATCCCAAAACGGGCAGGCTTAGTGGGTTTTAAAATATTGCCCAGCAAAATTCCTAATGCTCATGGGCCATGGGGTGGACATAGCCCGTAAGTCCCTCCGGCAAGCCATCGGATGAAACTGCCGGAGGTTACCTCAACAGTTGTTAGTTAGGTATAGTGAGGTAGCAAAAATTGGTACTTTTTGATGTTAATGCCATCAAAATCTTGCTTTTCTCGGACAAAATGGACATTGAGGGCTCCAAAAGAGCCCTCAAAAAAATGCTAATACAGGCTTAATTTCATCAATACAGCCTCTATTGACCTGTCAAGCATTGTAAAGTATCAAAACATTGATCAATTTGTGATAAAAACAACAACAAAAAGAAAACAAGTAGGCAAATATGTTATCCAAACTGTCCAAAATATATTGTAACACATCAGCCCACCGTTTCTAAGAGGAATCCTTCTTGGTTATGGAGACTCTACAGACTTCATTGGAGACCATACAATCCATGGCCAATATGGAAAGCCAGGTTAGCTTGACCCAGTGTGGTTTAAATTGGTGGCCAAAGTCTTCAGCTCAAGCAGAACTAGCAACCAATTAAGATGCTCTCAAAGCATGATCCTTGATTTGGCGGCCCAGCTAAGTCCTAACTGGCACAAAATGCCCCTTACAAAGCAAGCCTCCTCTCTACAGAGGGTCTCCTTGGGATGCAGGGGCCCCCCCTTATGAGAGGGTTAGTGAAGCTGGGGTTATTTTGGGCTGGGAGCTTGGATAGCAGAATGCAATGCACAGAAAGTCAAGCATAGATCTACAGAAAGTTCTTACAATCTTTGTTGTGTCAAGATCTTCAAGTGACTATAAAATATATTCCCAAGGGACCCATCTTGCCTTTTGAGATTCCTGATCTTGGGCACAATCTCCATTGCATAAATCTGGGCTGTTCAGTCAAGAACAGTGATCAAGTCTTAAATTCATGATTTGGTCTTGGATAAAAAAATACAAAAGACTTCTGGATAGTGTCATTTGACCAGTGCCTAAGGCAAGTAGACTGATGTAAAATAGTGAGTTTGATGGGACCCCCATTTTGGTTAAAGGGGGACTCAAGTCGGATTATTGTTGGTATCTACATGTATGTCAGTGCGGCTATCAGCTAGTGACACAAATTTGGCCACAGTGCTGAAGGAAATCAAAGTCCAGATGGTCTTGAGTCAAATAGCTTGAAAAAAAAAAAAAAAAAAAAAAAAAAAAAAAAAAAACAGGAACATGTGTGTAATCCATTGATTGGAGGACATGTTGATGCTGCAGTAGCTGTCGAGTTATGGCAACTCCATGAAGCATGCTTTCAGATGAAGCCTGTGGAGGAATGCAGTCACAATTTCTAGCTTGTGTTTACTGAAATAAATAGCCCTCTACAGCTAGGAAAAACTAAGGCAGCTGTGCTAATGAGTGAAACACCTCTTGGGTAAATTAACCATCATTGATTCACAGGAGCAGCAGGCACGTTTAGGGTGTCGATGAGCCAGAGCATCAAGAGACCTTGAGTGATTGGACTAGTGGAGAAAGTTAATTTTTCTTTTTCTCATAAGAGGGCTGATACCCTTTGTGGTTTGATGTTGTGTATGTATGTCTGGGGCGGGAGGTACTGTTTGTGGAGGTAAATGACCATGATATGTGTACAGGAGAGGAAAAAGAGAAAAACAGATGGTATTTTGCTTTAGGGGTAGGGTGTGATAGCCTGTGAGAGGGTTGATGATTGCAGAGTTTGATATGTGGTGACTTGTATTCATGACACAGATAATGATTGGAGACGGGCCGCTTCTTCAACACCGAGCAAGTTTTCAAGGTGCTCTTGTTTGATGGATCTACAAACACGAAGATAGTGGAATTTTCGGTCCGATTTCCATTTGTTGATCTCCTCATCCAGGGTGCGACATTTCTTGACGAGCAAGGTAAGAGGGCTTCCAAAGTGCTGTGTTTCGTGTGAACAGGAGATGCTAGTTTCATCGATTTTCTTGGCGAGATGTTGACGTCTCTTCTGGGCTACTTTGAATTGGATCACTCGCTCGGATCCATCTTGGAGGAATTTGTTGAGTTTCTTGCAGTCGGCACATCTGCAAGACACCTGAGGGCTTTGGGTGTTGATACCTGCATGAGGCATCGGCCCAATGCATTTCTCCTCGTAGTGCTGTAGGAATTGGCGAGTGAGCTGCTGGTATAAAGGCGTGTTGAGCGGGACTGATCGAGAAGCCAGACCTGAAATGAGTTGATAGAGGAACGGCATCCAGAACTCGGTCATTTCTGCTTCTGAGAATGTAGTACATCGTGCATTAATTTGTTCGATAAACGGCTCCATTAAGTTTGTTCCATCGGCGCTCAGGTCATAAAGATCACAGAAAAATCCAGCCAAAGCCCTTTCGCAAACCGCGGGTTCCGGTGGGGCGTCCTCCATGTCCTCAGATTCAACTCCGGTAAAGATGTCTGCAGGCGTCCGTTCCCCATTGAAAAGGCGCAAGCTAAGCTTTCTACGGAGTTCTACGGTGTTGGAAATTGGATACTGTGCCGCCGTTCCAAGAGTCTTAAGTTGAGAAAGGAAACCGAGCAAGAATGCAATACCTTCGACTTTGAGGAAGCGGTCAAATATCGAGGTGAGACTAAACAGATTGGAGGTAAACAAAACTAAGAAACTGTCTAGATCATGACTTCAAATTGACAATACTTGATTTTGAGATTTAAAAGCTTACAACGTAGATGTGCTTTCCCAGGTATCATTAAGATTAAAGATGGAGGACACAATCGCGCCTCCCTCTTCTTCAGCGGGTTTCGTGGTGGTCTCGAGTAGATTTGTGATGGACTGACGGAACAGGTTTTGCGCCCAGGGCTGGCTTGTAAGTACAGCATCTGGCACGGAGGAGTCATCAGTTTTCTGTTGGGAAATCCTTTCGAAAAATTCGGTGCGTTTAGCCATAGACGGATAGGCGTCAATGAGCAATGGTATCCTATTGAACATGCAAAGGAGATCACAAGTTTCAGCTGCTGATTCAACTTGATAGTAACAGAAGCCTAGAAGAGTCCTAATACGTACCACCTCTGATACCTGTCTGCACGGTCTACCTCTGGAAGCGTGTTGATCCATTCCTTTGACCAGTCAGCAAAACTAACTGGTAATTCGCCTTGATGGCGGGTTGCGACGGCGTGAAATAGCTCATAGTGAGCGTGTTGAAGGGCAGCCTTCAAGATAACGATGATTGTCTCTGATTGCATACGATTGCCGGATCGCCTGCGACAGAGCTTGGCCATCAGATCAAGCAGGCGGATTGAAGCTGTAGGCTCCGAACAACGTTGTCCAAGGTAACGAAGAATTGGGTTGGCATTCTTGCTATCCCCATGTTCGCATTTGGTTAGAAACTCTTCAAGGCTTTCGTGGGGAACAATGGCAAGAGCTGCACGACGATACCAATGGGTAGCAGAAGGACCCTGGATGCGTGAATGTGGAGATTTCTGATCAGTACTGATGTAGTAAACCGAACTATCGAGAGACATACCCAATTTCCATGGTAAGCTTCGTATTCCTCTCTAGCCACCCCTACCATCTCGAAAGGATCTTCCTCCGTGCAACAGTCCTCGTCAAAATCAAAGTTACTGGCAATAGCTGTACCATCAAGGGCGCGGAGTGACTTCACGGAATAGCTAGTATCATTAACCTCATCGAGCACATGATCTCCACCGTTCTCATTGATCTCAAGATCACCATCGTTGTAACCATATCTACATCGAATTTCATCATCTCCGCCAGTCCAATCTGGCTCGCAATCTCCTTCCTCTTTTTTCTCTAGTAACGCCAAGAATATTTCAAAAGGTAACTCAGCCGTAAGATCTTGTACTACTCTTACCCGGGCAAAGTCTTCAGCCTTGAGTGTTTGGAGGGACATGGAAGCTTCCGTATATTCGTGCTCGAGGGCATGGTAAAGATAGCTTTCGCCATTATAGAGGTCTCTGAGCCAGTGTCTGAGCGTCCTTCTGAGTGGTTGCTTTTGGATGTCGAATCTACTTGCTGCTGGCGTGGATTCACCGGGCTTGATGGCAAGGTTGTATGTCAAGACGCATCGGTATCCCGATTTGACCGGTAGAACTTCATGGGTCACGTCCGAGTACCAGCAAGCAAATGATTGCTTGGCAGCCGATGTGCTCAACGTCTTGCATTCCCCGTTGTGCTTCACAACCACTTCACCGCCCGTGTGAGGCGATGGTAAACAGATTATCATAGTTCCAAACATGCCCGGAGTTTTTTCGGTGCTGTTATCATCAAAAAAAACAGTGGTCTGTCAGTATTCAATTTAAAAAATTACTAGACGTGTCTGATTAGTTTAAAAACAAATGACTCTTATTTACTCGGTGTGTGGCTTAAACATGGCCCCCTGTTCATATATGAGCATCTTGTACAACTCCGATCGAATCGGCCCATCGATACCCAGACTGGTCGCAACACGTTTGTTCAAATCAAGCAGATAACCCTGCCATAGGGGGTCGAGGAAGCGCAACTGATCACCGTCGATTTCCCATGTGTTGCGGACAGACACATCAATCAGTGTCTCGCTCCTGCGGCCGAAGGGAGCCTGATGTGCTTTCTCGATCAGCCGTCGAACAGATTCTTCGCTCAGAGGCAGTGCAATGTCTGCGACGCCGTTCACATGAAGCCCGGCAGGTGGAGTGGTCGGAAGCGAACCCCATGCAGCAAATGTCCCGGGAGTCTTGATGATTTTGAAAGCCGCGTTCAAGTCATCTTGTAAGCTGACATCGTAGTCCGAATCATCTGAGCTGTCTTCATCCATGTTATCATCGCTGTCTTGGTAAGAATCCTCTGAGGTGTCTTCATCCATAGTATCGGGATCATCAGCGATGTCTTCGACCATAGTATCCGAAGTACTCAAGATGTCTTCGTCGACGAGCTTCTCGGCATTATCTGAGCCGTCCTGCTTGGATATGTCTGGCATTATGAGCTTGGATCACTCTGTTTGTCCTGAGTTGTAGACCGCCAAGTTCTTGTATGTAGACCGCCAAATTCACCGGTGAGCTTGACCTGTGGGTCCCAGAGGCGCATACATGTATGGAATATGTATTTGTAAATATTCATCATTTTTCACGCCATGATGTCACGACCGCATACAAGCAAGCTCAAGCAAGCCAGGCAGAGCCAGCCCCTCTTTTCAGAAACTGGCTTCCTCCACCGGCCGGCCGCCGGTGGCTTCCTCCTGAAGTTGGGAGTGCCGGTCCCTGGAGACCGTTGAAGTTGCTCCGAGGCTCAAGCTGCCAGACACCGTTTGACTAGAAAAATGTTTACCCATCCCGATCCATCCCGAATACATCCAGCGGACTAGACATCTTGTCTTACATAGCGCACAGGAAGTGAAGCCTAGCTACCGTTAATCCGCTAGCTCCAGACTCCAGAGAAAACATGACAACCCTTTGAGCCCGCAGAACTTTGAATCATCTTAAATGAGTATTCTCTATAGCAGCTCACGGTCGCAAAGTTTGTCTGGGAAGCAGACACCGATGCGCTAGGATTGGTTCAGACTTGATCAAATGTTTCCATCCCCATTACACCTATAACATCTTGTGTGAGGCCTTTCTATTATCTATTCACTACATAGTCCACTTGCCCCAGGTACCACATGATAAGCCTTTGAGTCCGCGGAATGTCGAAACATCCTAAAGGAGTACGACCAAGTGGTAAAATTTGACTACATATGCATAACACAATTTGTAAAGAGGCTGAGCAGCTTGCGACCACACATTTTGTCTGGACGTCACGAGACCTGAGGATTTATCTATCCACAGACAATCGCGACAGATCGCGACTGGAAGCCTCTGGAAGCACTATGTAGTGCAAGGGATAACCACATCAAACAGCGTCATCGACTAGAAATCGGGTAGTGATACATGCTGTGGGGATAATGAAACCTCCTTGAATTAGACAAAACCAATGTCAGCGGGTACATAACACTAACAGCGGACTTATTTTTTCGAATACTTTACTAGTACTAGTGGAACAACCAGCTTGATGGCCCCCTGAAGCTCAAGTAAAAACCCAAGATCACCTGCAACAGCCAGTGAGCGGCAAGATGCATTCAATTTTCACTATATAGAGGCAATTTGGATTGAGCGATCTCCCCAGCAGCTCAGCGATTCCAGCTACAGTACAAGTACTACACTTAACGTTCCCCGCTCAACAGGTTAGCCTGAGTTTGGCGACATCTCACCTTATGATGATATATAATCTGTCGTGAACTTGCGTCGGTCAAAAGAATAATCTAAAGCAAGCGCTGTTATTGACATCTGTTGCTTCCCTTCCGCATTTACCTACCTTTCCTATTTTTTTAAACCCTGCTAACATCCAGAAACGAACAGGATTTGGCAAAATGATGAATCGTTATGCGTTCTTCATTGCGCTCTGGTTTGCGTCCCTGATTACAAACAGTGTTAGTGTTAATACTGGGCATAAAGGCGAGTGTTCGATTTTCTGATGAAATCATAAGACTCCCAATGAGAAAGCCTGTCTAATCTCGTATGTATCCACCCCACATTCGATTTATTAAGATATTCCTTGTCGCAGATGGGAACCGATTAGTGCCCTGTTCGGACAGAAGTTGGAAGAAATGAGACCGTTACTCCGGGACACTGTTTGGGAAAAGATCACTGAAAAAGGGACTCAAACCGAACCATTTAAGCATGCAGTTGGTGACCGGGCGGCCTCGTTCACCTGGTGCACGGAAAGAGGAAGAGGCGCCGTTGTCAAGAACACCGGCTCGAATGATCTGGTGTATGCTTTGCGACATCACACAAGTCAAAAGTTTGTCATCGGTGCACGTCTCCAAGCCGGGGATTACCAGCACGTCGAATTTCCTGAAGAATGCACAAAAGATGAGGTTTATCTTCACATTAGGAAACCATGATCTTCACAAGATGTTCCACTTATGAAATCAGACAAAACCAAGTTTGATTCCATTTCCAACATATCCCAAGTTCATTGAAAATACCTCATTGCAATTCTGACCTACATACATGTTGAAGTGGCCTGTGCTTTCAAATTTTAGTAACACGGAAGAGAAAGAAAATTGCTGTCATCATTCATTCCCCTCCTTGATCCCACTCTGCTCTTTTGACCTATGTACTCAAGCAGTCAACTTTTCTACTTCTGCAATTCAAATTGGTATTGGGTAATTCAGTAGATCTGTCTTAGTTGTTCTTTTTCTATTCAAGTGAAATTTGGCCTATGACATTGCACACTGCAAATCTGAGTAACATCTTTGTGAAACATAAAGAAACACAAAATAACCTAACCCAGCTACGTAACACGCAAGTGAGATGGAAAGAAATTGACTTGATGATAACATCTGATTGAGAAAAAAAGATAAAAAGGAAGAGAAAGAAGGATTTAGATTAAGGGGTTATCGGGGTAGATGCTCGGGGAAGCGGTTCGTGTCAAGCAGAAAACGGGACAATGCCGCCTCCGCTTTCCGATTGCCAAAGACCTTGTCAAGTCGTTCCGCTTTGAAACGGATCTTAAGTTGTCGCAGGTATCGTCGAAGGAGTCACTCGTTGTCTTCTGGGATACGGGCCAAAGTTCATGAAGTGATACACCGTCTCACTATAAGCCCCACAGTTGGGGCATGTTCTTGGAGGAATCCTTTGCAACCAGAGCTCATAAATGATAATTCAATTATGTCTTTTGCGAGCGCAAGGTGTATGTATGACTTTGAAACCGCTTCCTGGCGACCCGGGCCGGAGGGTGGCTACGTGTTTTTACAACGGCCACACACGATCTGCAGAACACTCGACCGTCCCTTTAGTACACAGCTTTAAATCCGCATCCTGAATTGGGCCAGTGAAAGTTTTAGACCGAAACACGATGAACCTCATGTGCCGTACATGTATCCAGATCAAGGCCTTTGTCCATAGACGAACGATCCCGACAGCCGGGGGTCATAAGACATGGATTATCACGTGGCCCGGGTCTGGTATAAGGGTGTTGCAGTGGCTCCGAGAATTTCTCGACGGAGCTTGCCACTGGTAAGCTCCTTGGATGGGCTGAAACAGATGGGACACTCCGGCATCCTCTCGAATTTTCCGCTTGTAGTCGAATAACTTGCTTGATGCTTCTCATATGTGCATACCCAGTGAAAAATGAAATGTCTGAAGCAGCAAGTAAAAGTCAGACACGAAAGGCCATCTCGTTTCCAATATAAGAAGCCTTTGCTTGGAGGCCATCATTTGCACTACACCTCTGCAAGAAATACTACGGCATAAATTAACTGTATTGAATCTTAACCGTCTGGCCTCAACAGGTTCGGAGCACATATCGTTATCAGGTTATTCTGGCTTGTTACCACTTCCTAATAAACACAGAAAGTTGAGCGTTTATTGACATTTGCTCTGGTTGGTTTAGAAGTTCTTTTGTTTTCCAAGCTCCCCAGAAAAATAAAAACATAAGGTCGAGAGAATGATCATGATTAAGCATTACAAATCCATGATCACCCTTTGGATGACTTCTCTGATTGCAAATAGGCTAGGTTTTTTGCCAGAAGGTGAGTCATGAACTTGACGAATGACGAGTTGAGCTTGTACTGATGATCTCAAACCTCTCGCAACATGACCCTATGTAATTGTCGTTGATGAAGATTCAGTGGAAGTCCGCCATTGGTGTTCACCGCGAGAGCTGTTGCAGCCAAGATACAACCCGGTCCGATCGCTGATCACCGATACAGTCGGGATGCAATTCACGGACCGATCCGGCCCGAAATGGGCATTCTTCCATGAGACTGAAGACCATGCAGCAAGGGCTCAATTCCAGTGGTGTGATAGTGAGCAGGCCGGCCTCATCCACAACATTGGCAAGACCGAAATATTGTACGGATTACGTCACGAGCGCACTTCCCACTGGGTGATTGGCTCGCCTCTCTTGCCCGGACAGACCCAGGTCGTCCATTTTCCTGATCGTTGCTTCAAAGGGAAGAACTGGCTATACATACGAACCGCCGTTTATAAGAAATAACCAATGAAACTTGTGCTCTGACCACCAGAAAAAACCCGACTCGATTTTTTTTTTTTTTCCAAAAAAGTTCAGATCAGCCGGTAATCCTAGCTGCAATTTTATTCTCTACTTATTGATTTTCTGTTGAATACTCAGTTTCAGTCTGTTATGTTTTTGATGCTTGAAGTGGCTTTCATTTTGTTTCCAGTTGTCGATATTATTCGCCAGTCTCAAGTTGTATGTTGGAATATTTTCTAGGTACTCTTGCGACACTGCTACTCTAGCCAACAGACTTGAATCAACCAAAGTTGGGAAGCTCGCTTCGCGAGTCGATTAAGGTGTTGGCTTGTGTTAAGCTAGGCCAAAGTGGGGACGAGGCCAGCGGACCTCGTAAGGAGCATTTTTACCGTCGGACCACAATAGCTGTATCGGGTCATTTTAATTCCTCTGATACGCGGAGTTCTTGCCGCCGCAGAACGCCAAATGTTGATGGGCTCAAGTGGGAAAGAGAGAAGGAGAGGTGCCCTTCGCCCCCTTCATGTAAGTAGAAAGCCAAGATTGCTGCACTCGCGTACGCCTCCGTGTTACTATGGACTCACCTTCTAAAGTCTATCATTGAAGCCGATAACATGTAGCGGGTTATGCTTGAATGGATCAAAAGTGAAGCTCTTCCAAGACATAAATCAGATATTTGTTGATCAATGTTGTCCACAACAGGCTACAGCTATGTATTTTACATATTTCAACAGTGGATGAGTCAATGATGAAAAAAAAAAAAACATGAATATTAAGTCATCTCACTTTATGAGGATACAAGTGTGGATATATATACAATTGGGCAGGGGCAAACAACATTCCGTAGGCAGTTATATCTATACAAAAAGATGGATGATTGCATGTCTGATCCTACAACAACGACGCAGGAAGATTGACTATTCAGCCTGATTCCCAAAAGGCTAAACAGGATGGGCGCTACTTCTTCCGTGCGGCCCTTTTCAGAGCGGCTTCAGCAGCAGCAAGCCTAGGATTATCGTTCGGAGTCTGATTAACGACCGAAGAGCCTACTGTCTGATTCAATTGACTGCTGGATTGTTGACCATGAGCCGGATTCTGACCGTCAACAGTACCAGACGAGGTGCTGCAATGGAAGTCAAGTTCAGCCGTTTCAGGCTCGTAGTGGTCGCCCATGTCCCCCCCGAGTCGATAACTCGATGATTTGACACTTTCGTCATAAGCTAGCATTCCTTTGTGAATTTTGGAATCCAATTCTTTGAATTGGTTGCTACAAAATCCAAGAATCAGTGTTCTGCTAAGAGAGGTTCCTTGACTTTTGGGGGTCTCCAATACTGGCTTGAGATAGAAAAGGGAGAGAGAGATGTGCTGGTCGACTCAACTCATGGGGCCCGAAGACGTTATGGGCTAGCTCGTGGCTCAAAACTCTTCTGACCATCGTAAATGGCCGAACAGATTTGAGGTCGTCAGTCAGGAGCCTAAGACGGATAGACTGGCCGGCGTTCTGATTGACTCCCAAGAGTTGAGGATCGAGCCAAGGGTGCAATTCGCCTAGACTTCCGACCTCTAATTTGAACTTGATCATCTGTTTGAGTATCGATGGATCAGTTGCGAGTTTGTCAACCAATTCTTGCCTTCTGGATTCGAATGGTAAGTTTGGTAACAGGGCCACTTGACGAAAGCTGAAGCGATCTTCAGGATTGGTTCGGTGTTTGGGAGTGGTGTTTCGGATTTTCGCCGGGTTCTTGAGTGCCGCTTGACGCGCTTGTTCTCTCCTGAGGTTGTCTTGCGCTGCTTGCTCAGATCGTTGGACTTCAGAGAGTTCTGTCGTAAGAAGTAAGATCCGGTACTGAGCATCCTTGGAGTTGAAACCGAGCTGATGGAGTGATTTGTGATCGGATTCGCCTGGTGAGACTATTGTCCGTGGTGGGCTCTTGAGTATCAGCTTGAAGATCATTCGGTCTACGGTTGATGGGAGGGTGTTCAGAGTCGAGAGATGTTGATGGCAGAGCTCATGTATTGAGATCCCAGACGGAACTAATAAGGTGGCGGATGAGTTCTGATGGTGAATATTGAGGGTGATAGGGGTATTGTCGAAAGATGGAGGAGATACAACCATCCTCGGATCAGCATGTGATGTTGGGATTGGGATTTGGAAAGATCGCAGTGCCAGTCCGGGGGAAGAAAGACTATGACGTAATACTCAGTAGGACCACCCGACCGCCCCCCTCCCCGAGCCAGGCCAGTGGTACCCGAATCCCCGATGAGAGCAATCGGACCCTGACCACTGCTTCGCTCCTATCGACCTCGCCCTCCAATTGACTGTGCCCCTTTCCCAATGGTTCAAGTAAGATTTTCCCTTTGCTTCCTATCTAAACACTCCCAGCTTGGAAACTGAAATCCCTATTTCTCTAGCTTTGATTGAAATCAAGCCTGGTTCCAGAAAAGCCGCCTGGGTCCGCCGTCCTGAGATCACAGAACCAATGAGGGATAATGATGAAGAATCAAGATTCAAGGTTTACATTGCGGTTGAGACAGGTAGATAAGCATAGGTGTATTGCCACATTTGCCATAATTGTATTTCCAGGTCCACGCATTTGTCATAGGATATTGCCAGGCAAAAAAATGTTTGCAAAACACTCCGCAAATAAATAGAGGGTCTTAGTTAAACGACTCCCAAAATTTGGAGTTCCGACTCCCAAATTTTGGGGACGTCCGGAGGACTGTCTGCGGACGGTCCTCAGGACGTCAAGCCCCCTAATTTTTTTTCCCCCGTTTTTTGGGAGTTGGTCCTCCAAACCCTTTGATTGGTTTGGGAGTTGACTCCCTAAGAAAATTATTATTATTATTCTTTTTGCAACCCCCCCGGGGTTTTCATGGAGTCAATACTCCAAAACCCCATGGGGGTTTGGAGTCGGCACTGCAAAAAAAAACAGAAGAACAGCGGGACCCGGCTAGATTCCTCCCGGCCATTGAAAGGCACACGGCCGGGAGGAACCCTCCCGGCGTTGAAAGGCACACGGCTGGGAGGAACCCTCCCGGCGTTGAAAGGCTACAATCTTGACGGCCGGGAGGATTCCTCCCGGCCGTTGAGAGGTTACACTCTCAATGGCCGAGAGTTATTTCTCTTGGTCATCGAGAGTGTAGACTCTTGATGGCTGAGAGTTATTTCTCTCGGTCATTGAGAGTGTAGACTCTCAAGGACCAAGAGGATTCCTCTTGGCCGAGGAGAGTGTACACTCTCCACAACCGAGAGAAACCCTCCCGGCTGTTGAGATTTACACTCTTGATGACCGAGAGAAATAACTCTTGGCCATCGAGAGTGTACACTAGAGATGTCACTTGGCACCTGCCAACAGGTACCTGCCACAACTTCAAACAATTACATGGACACCTCCAGCCACCAGCTGTGCATTGGAAGGATGTATTACTGTCCAAGAAACAGTTCTGTATGCTCCAACTTCAAAGATGGTGGATGGAAGTGCCCGGGGCACCTTCTGAAAGTGTGGCAGGTACCTGCCGGCGGGTGCCAAGTGACATCTCTAGTGTACACTCTTGATGACCGAGAGAAATAACTCTTGGCCATTGAGAGTGTACACTCTTGATGACCGAGAGAAATAACTCTTGGCCATTGAGAGTGTACACTCTTGATGACCGAGAGAAATAACTCTCGGCCTTCAAGAGTACACTCTCGATGGCCGAGAGGATTCCGGTTATCAAGAGTGTACCAACGACCAAGAGGAATCCAACTCTTGGCCATCGAGAGCAAACACTCTCGACGACCGAGAGGATTCCGGTCATTGAGAGTGTACCGACAACCACGAGGAATCCTCTCGGCCATTGAGAGTGTACACTCTCGATGGCTGAGAGTTATTTCTCTTGGCCATCGAGAGTGTACTCGGCCATTGAGAGTGTACACTCTTGGCCATCAAGAGTGTACTCGGCCATTGAGAGTGTACACTCTTGATGGCCGAGAGAAATAACTCTTGGCCGTCGAGATTGAATTTGTAGCCTTTTCAATGGCCAGGAGGAATCCTCCCGGCGGTTGAAAGGCACCCGGCCGGGAGGATTCCTCCCGGCGTTTTTTTTCTCAGTGCCGACTCCAAACCCCCATGGGGTTTTGGAGTATCGACTCCAAAAAAACCCCGGGGGGTTTTGCAAAAAGAAAAATAATAATAATAATTTTCTTAGGGAGTCGACTCCCAAACCAATCAAAGGGTTTGGAGGACCGACTCCCAAAAAACGGGGGGAAAAAAATTAGGGGGCTTGACGTCCTGAGGACCGTCCGCAGACAGTCCTCCGGACGTCCCCAAAATTTAAGAGTCAGAACTCCAAATTTTGGGAGTCATTTAACTAAGACCCTAAATAGAAATGTAGCAGATCCTTCATTTGACCATGCCATGAAGGATAATTCTTGCTGTTGAGGATCGGAAGAAGGTGTTCAGTGTTGTCCGTCATTACTGTGTTTGTTTCTGATGAGTTTTCCGGTTTATTTGAGTGATTCAAGACTATAAATCTGTGAATGAATAGACTAAAAGGTAGTATTTCATAAGTACCTGCTAGAGAAATACAAGATAGAAAAAGAAAATAAATGAGAAAATAACAATCACCTAAAAGCATTAGATGAATAATGAAGAGAACAACAATATGCTATGGCGCTATAACAATAAATAAAAAAAGATCTGACAAAAGAACATAGGTTAACATGATAACATTGATGAGAAAGGATCAACAAGAACCCATGATGAACAAGAAGATGTTATTAAGAAGAAAGTTATTGGCAATTTGTTGAATAGAAGGGGACACAAGTTGTTGAATGGAAGAGGATTTGTTGTTATAAGAATTGAAAGGACTGAGCAATCAATTGTTTAAAAAGATAAGGTAAGCAATGATGTAGGTCAGGGATGAGTGGATGGATTGACAGAAATATGATGTAGTAAAGTGCGGAGCTTAGCAATGTGAAGAGAGAAGCTTGGAAATGTGAAGAGAGAAGCTTGGAAATGTGAAGAGATGGGCTCAATGAAGTGAGGAGGGGAGCTTAGCAATGAAGGAAAAATCAAAGAAAGAAGATCCTTGGGGGTGAATGACCAAAGGAAGAATGCTCAATGATAAGGAAGAAAGGAGAGGGATCATGCAAGATGATAACCAGGCAGAAGATTGAGAGGGTTTGAGCGCGGTGATGTCATCACTACGCTATGAAGACTTTGAGAGAAGGTTTGTGTGGAGTGATGTCATCACTGAGCAAGATTATTTTGATATTGAGGGAAAAGAAATGTTAAGGGCCAGATGTGTTCAGATATGGGGCTTAGACATCAACATAATGCCTGTTGTCAGCTGATCTTCCAGAAGAAGGCTTGTGTCAAAGCCTACAATTGGCTGACCTATTAATAGAAGGCTCAAAAAGATAGCTGCTGACTTGGGATTGAACATCACCAGCGCAAATTTCAACTTTCACTGTCCACAATTATCCTGTACCGCTGCACAAGTGGCCATTTCTCACACTGATACAAGTAAACCACTTGGACTCATAGATATGATTTGAACTGCTTCAACCACTTCATGTACTGTGAAGACTTGAAGATACTCAATCCCTGTGCATCCTCCAGTACCCATTCCAAATTTGGTGCAACAATGGATTCATTGGATCCTGTCAAGAAGCTGTAAAAAAATGCTTACAGTCTAGCAAGAAACCCATTGATACAATAAGGAAAACCACTGCAAATTAAGTACCCACATCAGATATCAACTGCCTAGAATCTAGTCCAAACATAGACTGATCAAAGACCAATTCTCCTCTTGATTACAGAATGGTGACTCATTGAAGAAATTTTTTCTAGAATTATTTGTACGGCCTCCCAACCAGGGAGAATAACAACACATAATGTGAAGATAGAATAAATATGGTGATACAAGTCACTTGAGATCAACCTGTTTAAATAGTCTATCAACAGCAATCCAACAAGGTACTGTACTTGAAGGACCAAAAAAGGAAAGCATCTGTTTTGTTTTGTAAGTCTGAGTACTAACATCTTTGCTTGGGAAGGAAAACCACACTGCCAGGATCATTGGCTAGGTTGAGGACATCCCATTAACTGGGATGCACTCAAAGAAGTTAAACTTGGTTGCATCTCAACCAATGAAATGAAAATACAAGGTACCTTCAATTGATATTTCAATGGTTGGAATCCAACCAAGTTTACATGGGTTGAGTGCAATACCCTCAACACAGCCAATTATGTTGGCAGTGCCACAGCAAGATACCAAGAGTTTCATCCTCAATCTTTACTGCTTCCTAGCAAAATAATGGTATTAAATTAGAGATGGGCGGGGATAATCCGTTGCGGATATCCGCTATCCGCTGGCGGATACCCGCCAGTGCCAGCGGATACCCGCCAGCGGGTGCGGATGGCTGTTTTTCCGCCCAAACGTGGCGGATATCCGGGTATCCCAAGGGATACCCGGTGCCAAGAGAGGCCACACCGCCGGGAGAATCCCTCCCGGCGAGCTGGATTGTGTTCCAGCTTGCCGGGAGGGATTCCTCCGCGACAAGCGACGAGAGGGTATGAATATGTACACCAGCTCCTTGGGAGGAATCCCT